ATAAAAACATTATTATTATATTTTAAATATATATTAAAATAAGCTTTTTAAAAATATTTTTAAATTATTGTTTAAATATTATTAAAAATATTATAAAAACATTATTATTATATTTTAAATATATTTTAAAATAAACTTTTTAAAAATGTTTTTAAAATATTATTTTATTGTTATTAAAAATATAATAAAGATATTATTATTATATTTTAAATATATTTTAAAATAAGTTTTTTTTTTTTCTAATTCAGCTATTTTGCCCTTGTTTATTTGGGATTAAGTTATTCAAAAGTACAAGTAATTTATTTCTAACTAAAATAGATCTAACCAAACGAAGAACTCACTCACGTGATTTTATACATCAGGTGTGATCTGCCTCAGTAACTCTTGGCCTGCCTTAGGATCCTTAACTTACTAAGAACTTTTTCCTGTTGTTTATCAGCTGGCAGCTACCCGCTCATCAAGAAGCAAAATCAGAAAATAAAATGAAGAAATTAAAAAAAAACACAGAGGTATAGAGAACTATAGTAAAAGAATACAAAATACAAAGAAAAAAGGGGTAAAAGAATATTGAAAAAAACAAAAACAAAACAGAAAATTTTGCTAATCTTAATACCTGTGGGTAGCTTAGAAAAATTACATACTAACTAGATAAATTAGTCTCTACTTCTATTTTTCTCTAAACTAGTATTCGAAAGTAAAAACCCAATAGGAAAAACTTCATTGACTGACTTAAGGTAGAGAGGTCAAAACAGAGTCTTGAAGCATTGTTTGTACAGATATCTATTGCATTCAAGGCATGTATAACATGTGTTTGTTGTCATGTTCTGATTTGGGAGATAAACAATACTGACTTGTTTGGTACATATGATGTCGATCATTTGAAGGGGGTAAGCTAAAATAGCTACTTTTTATAAAAATTTCCTCAAAAAAAAGGTGGGCTAATAAGAGTATATGAGGTTCTTCTTGTAAGTTTTACCATTATATAGTCCAGCTTCTTCATTTCTACTAATTAAAAGTGCACTTTTGGCTACTTCTACAGACTTGTTCTCAGAATAAACCTTCTGGTTTGGATACTGAATATTTTGAAAGTTCACTAGAAAGAAAACTTAACCCCAAAGAAAACCATCCGTTTTTTTGATGCCCGCTCCTCAGTATTTCACACCTAGACAGCTTAGACTTCATTAACAACAAGCTGCTTCTACTTATAGAACCAAGTTTTAGTATTTACTTCATTGCTTTTCTATATATTTTGCTGTAGTTCGGTTTTTGTTGTTGTTGACCAGAGAATTGTTGGAAAGAGTTGGGTCTTAATATATATTTGTTTAAAATAAGCTTTTTAAAAATGGTTTAAAATATCATTTTAATATTATTAATAATTAATATATAAAGAGTGTAGCGACTTAAAGTAGTAGTTAAGTTGTTACCCCCAAGTGGCAGGTTTAGAGTTCGAATCCCACCGGAGATATTTTTAGAAAAATAGATCTGTGTTTTGGTAACAATTATTCAACGATCGGTTGGGTATATAACCTGTAATCTTGGTACTACCATCTCGAAATAGAAGCTCTTAGGTGATTCAAATCTAAGGAACTGGAATAAATGAAACCCATTTGGAAAGACTTGAATAAAGAGGTAGTAAAGATCTTTGACGATATTGCGGAAAAGTCAGAAATTGGAGACCAAAGAACTAGACGAAAACCCTGAAGCAAGAAGGGTTCACCAATCTGGCCGCCAGAGTCATATCAGAGGGAAAGGTTCTATACTATGAAATTAGAAACCAAGAAAAGTAAACCAGAAGGCACTTAAAGCTTAAGTACAATGACCTGTCCAGGCTAATTGGTTTGGTAATTGGAGAGGGATCAGTATAAAGACCGGCTTGATGTGAGTATCAGGATTGGAAAGAACCTTGCAAAAGTACCGGATACTAGAATTGTGCGGTTTAATAGTTCGTCCTGACTGCTAATAGTAGTTTCGACTGCTGTAGAAGGTATTTGTAGCCTAATCTGGAAGTGTGTAGGATATAAAAAGATTAGGGTGTATATACTACACCCTTTCTAGGGCAACTTGGTAGTATGAGAACCCTACTGGATTATCTATAGAATTAGAATACAAGTAATATAGCAGATGTAGATCTGGATGGTCTTTAATAAGAAGCAACACAAGGTTATGGATTGGTGTGATTGTGGTGGTGGTGCAGGACCAAGGACGTCAAAGAATTTAAATAGATAATTTCTTAGTTAGGTTATAGGTATGGCATATAATGTAGAACCTTCGGGCGGACTATTTAAATTAGGTGACCAAAAGTTGCACATGTAGCTATATGTACTCTCGTTAACCAAAAATATACTACTAAAATACCTAATAAAAATTAACCCTTCTGTGATATTATGAAGGTATAAAAAAAATAATAATAAAAATAATTAGTATATATGACTTATTATATTATTTTGATTTTAAAGCATATTTTCAAAAATGTATAGTGCAGAAAGTCTTAACTTTAATTTTATATATGCAGTATAATCTAAATTAGCCAATCAGATTGCTAAAATAAATAATACAAACTAAATTAAAAAATTAAAAAATTTTATTTTTTTAAAGCTAAATTTTGATTAGCCAAAAAAAAATTTATAATAAAGATCCAAGTTTTTGATTGATTCAAATTAAAATTATATACATTTCAATTTTTATTTTTTAATATTAAAATAATCTAAATTTAAAAGCTATTAATTCTTTATAGAGATTATATTTTTAAAACCTAACCAGTAATTTTATAGAGCTTGTCTTGAAAAACAAAATTACTAGTTTAGTTTTTTAAATTTTTAAGTTTTTAAGAAGTTAATAGATTTTAAAGTTCATCTATTATATTGGTAAATTAAGACTTTTTGTATAAATTAAAAGATGATTATAATTATTTTAAAAGGCAATGAATATTCCAAATATTTATAAAACTATAATTATAATACTTTCTAGTTGTAATAAATATTATGTTTATTGAGTTTATTCAAAATAAACAAAATTGCTTATCGTTATTATTTTGTTAGTCTATATATTTTCTTTTGTATCTTTTGTTAAAGTTATATGAATTATTGGTGCTTAATATATTTCTATGTAATGTTCAAAACTTTTTTGGATGGCAATTTTAAACTCCCCTAGCAACACCACCCTAAAAAATTTTGCTACTATTTCATCAGCCAATCAGAATTCAAGATCCAGTATAACATGAAAAAATGCAAAAAAATCAAAACAAACCAAAAAATTATTTATAACTCAATATTTTACCTATAAAATTGCTTTCTGTGTATTAACAAAAAGTTTTTCTTGCAAAATTTTGATATTAAGAAAGCTTTCTTTAACCTAACTTAATAGCAAAACCTAATCTTAATTTAACTGCGAAATTTTTTTTAGTGAAATTTTTTAAGTTGGTGATACTAGGGTCTTACGATTTTACCCCAGTCACTAACAGCCAAGGATCTTCAACATTTTGGCCCACCTTACATAATTGTTTACTAATTTCTGTCTGGAATTAACTTGGTAATTTTTTTTTTACAAAAATAAAAAAAATTTAAAAAAATAGACCCACATTATAGTAAAATTGACCCAGGAACAATTTTCACTTAATAGGCGGCTGTGATTAGGGTTGTGTAACATAAATTACAATTTTACATTACATGTAATTTTATATAACAAATTTCATGTAATTTTCATGCGTCATATATAAAGTACCAGGCACTCTTTGAATTTGTGCCAGGTTTGTGGCACAGATGTTCTGAATTACGAATTAGATTTCAAGATTAGGTGTAACATAACACAATCCAGAAGATTCAAAACAAACGTTCATTTTGTCAGAAATCGCTCATTTCTTAAACATCTGCATAGGAAACCACCTTTAGTGCTTTAATAAAAAGTTTTCGCTAGACAATTTTACTATACAAACACCCTTCCTAACTCTAACTCAAACCTTAACCCTAACATAAACGAACTTTGAAGAATTTTTGCTGCGCCATAAACCTGGCACACATTCAAGAAAAGCAAGTACCAGATTTACAAAATGTTTGGCCAGCATTATTGCATCATTACCAGATTTATAAAATGTTTGGTCAGCATTATTGCATCATTTGATTTGGTATACAAAAAATGCATACAAGGTTGATGGCGAAGCTTTCCTGTACTACGAATCAAGTTTCAAAATTAGGTGTAATACAACACGATCAGGAAGATTCATTCGCTTTGCCAAAAATTGCACATATCTAAAAATCAGCATAAGAAACCACCTTTTGTACTCTAACAAAAAGTTTTTGTTAAGCAATTTTACCATATAAACTGCTCCTCTCTAGGTTCTAACCCTGACCCTAACCTTAACGAATTTTAAGAATTTTGTTTGCGCCGCCAACTTTGTACATATTTTCGGTATGCTTTGATTTGAATATATGATCCGAATTTTAATCCTAAATTGCTGAATATTTGATCTCAGAAACTTGATGTCATGTGTTCAAAATTACAATTACAAGAAAATTGATTTACAAAACTTATAGCAAAAATTACGATAATTTTACATCCCTAGCTGAGATATCATTAATGTTAATAAAATTCTGAATAATTCCAGCCTAATTTTTTGATCATCGCTTTTAGCCAATTAAAATTGAGAATCTGCTGTGACATTAATAAATTGCAAATGGCTGCGCCACCAATCAACTAATTGAATTCAATTGTAATAAATTATTATATGCTATAACTTAAATTTATTGCATGTGTAAATTACCCAAAAAAAAATTACTATGTACGTACCAATAGTTATTTTCAGATGGAGGTAAAATTATAGTGTGCTTACCATTATCAAACCTTAGAATAATACAGTAATAAAGATTATGCATCATGCATGAAATTTGAAAAAGTGCTAATTTGCTTATAAATAGCTTGTCAGTGCGTTTATTCCTTTAAATTAAATTTATAGCTGCAACCGTAGCGAAACAGTTATAAATCACATTTGCAAAAAAATCATTTTAATGCCTAAAAAAGCAGGTTCAAAACAAAATTCACATACCTCTAAGAAGGGGAATACGTCTACAAATAAAAAAGAACTTATATCCTCGAATAAAACAAATTCATCTTCAATCAAAAATAACAGGACTCATAATAATCAGAATCAGATTAGCGAGAGTCACGATCTTAGTGAAGACCTTAATTATGATGACACTGAAATTTTTAATAAAGCACTTATAGGCAACAGTGCCGAAAACTCTCAAATGCGATACACTCGTTCTGGATCACTGAGCTCTCGTTCTCGTTCTCGATTACCGCGTTCTCTATCAAAAGACTCTTTGCCAAGACGTTCTCTTTCAAGACACTCTCCTGTATAGCGTTCTAGTTCACGACACTCACCTTTACGACGTTCTAGTTTACGACACTCTTCTTTGCGACGTTCTCGTTCTCGTTTTTGTCATTCTCATTCAAGACAACATTCTCATTCACGATATTCTTCTTTACGACATTCTCGTTCCCATTAACGACAATGTTCCCGTTCATGATATTCTCCTTTATAATGCTCTTGTTCCCATTCACGACAACATTCCCATTCACGATATTCTCCTTTACAACGCTCTCGTTCTCCAAGTTCTCATTCATGATTACAACCCTCCCGAATTCAGCCTAAAAGCCGCAAAACACTTTCATTTGAATCTGATTATGAAGCAGCAGCATATGTGGCCGAACGACCAAAACTTCTAAAAATCACGAATCAAATGGCTCAGTATGATGGCCTTAAAGTATCAGACAATGAAGAAAAAACTACGGTTCTTACTCAATATGTAAGCATCTTTTATTATAATAAATTGTTATAGCTGAAGCAGAAAATTAGAAATCTTTATTTAAATGTATAAACCTTAACAAAATTTATCTATACTCTTTTATTATAAACCAACCCTAAATTCCAATCTAACTGTTAAAAAAAAAAAAAAAAAAAAAAGCTAAAAAAAATACATCAACCATAACAATAACTACTACTATTGATTTTTTTCTTATATAATAACTTCAATTTTTAGGAATCAATGAAATTCCAAACCTTTTTAAAATGCATGTTTTTTAGAACGTGACATCTTACAAAGGCAATAATTCTTAAATGTATTAAATTGTGCTTCCCATCTAAAAAATTTTCGCATAAAGACATATCAGTCTTAAAAGGTGCTGCCAATGCGGCATATCGAATTTATAGAGATGCACTTCGAAGCGGCCTCAAAAAAATTGCTAAAAATTTCATTGATGATTTCAAGTAAGTAAAAAAAATGCATTTAGTATACTGTAATCTTTATAGTTAATTGAATTTCAATTTATAGAATCACACGTCCTTCCCAAATTGAACAAGCCGATGTTGAAGCTTATCTTCGGGAAGAGGTATGGCGATCGTTTCTCAATCATTTCTATGATGCGATCGATGAAGAGACGACGCTTACGACCGAATTTAAAAAGACATGGCAAATATTCATGTCGAAATGTTTCCTGAAAATGATTGAAGAAACTTTGGACGAAGAAAAAAGGCTTGTTAAAATCACAGATTTAGACCACCTCACTTTGAACTGTGATATCTACGATGCTGGAGGCATATTGAATCTTAATGATGCTGATTTTAAAGCACTTCTGAAGAACGAATTAGATATCAGAGGGAACAATAAATAAGAATCTGTCATCAAAATCGAATTCGTGTGAACTAACACTTTTTTTTACTAGCTTTGCATCTATATATTTCGTGACTATCATTTGAAAAATTCATTACCATAATTAGTATATTAACAAAATTGAGATGGACCATAAATAATAGAATAAGCAATTTTAATTTTAATAATTAGCGATAACATGTATTATCAATAAATATATAAGTCTAATCATTCTAGCTTTGTGTTGTAATTATCGCTTTTTCTGATTTACTTAGTTATTGATCAATTCGTGGTACTTATAAATACGCTTTTAATATCTTTCTGGTTCCCTAAAACCAAACAATTAACGATATATTTGCTTTAATCTTCAGTCCTAGAACTCACAAATTTGTACTAGTAAAAAAAGTTTAAAGGACAAATATATGAATAAATAAAATTTTAAAAAAGTACTCATGAAATGAGTATGACAGATTCAATAATTACCTATACTGTAATCTTAGGACTCACAGGACTCAAAAAAAAATAATCAAATCCAACTAAATTGAAGATAGCAATAAGCATTTTTAGAAAGAAGCATATAGTAAAATGTTAAGTTTTTAGTGATTTTAAATAGGAATCTAAAAATTATAAAATTTGCTTTGCAATAACAACTTTACAGAAACTTGAATATTTTAATATACAGCAACTGCATAGTGACTATATAATTACTATTAAATTTAATAGTAATTATATAGTTACTATGTAGTTTTATGTAGTTACTGCGCATTAAGATATTCTGGTTTCTGTATAGAAATAAAATATTTATGTTTGAATGGCTTGTTCTAAATGTTTATATTGAAAATATTTATCTGCTAAATTAATGTAAGCATATAAAATTAAATAGAAAATTTTCATAAATTTGAATAGTTTGCTGTATTTTAAATAATTAGGTTAATAAATATTTTTAATACTTTGGACTAATATGAATAAAATAATCAGAGTTTTAATAATTCCTAACTTTAATCAGTAAAATTTAAATATATAAATGAAAATTTACTATATTTATTTTTTAATCTAATTAAATTTGTCTTTTTTACATTAATTATATAATAGCAATGAATAGCTGCTAATTTTAAATAATACACGATGCTTATTTAAACTAGCTTCAATAGGTAAATAACAATAACCAATTTTTATAATTATTCAAACCATTTTTCTAAGCTAATTTTTGACAATTAACAAACTCGATACAGTATGATAAGGCAAAAACAACATAATACAAGACCATGTTAAGAAATTGAGAATATAATACATCCAATCATGTGTTTTAGCAAAATCAATATGAAAATTTTCCGAAATACATTGATTGATCATAATAATTTATGCAGGGAAGAGTTGTACAATAGTTATTTCATGCTTCACGCAGGTTATTAATTAACTATTACCTCATAAGGTGAATAATAGTTTGTAATTGATCAATACGTAAATAAATAAATAATTGAACCTTGACAATAATTGCAATAATAATTTAAAGTTCAATTATTTTGGTGTTGAGAACATTATTTAGCCATTGTACTAGTCTTGCTATGACTCGTATTCGTACTTTAAAAAATAAAATTGTTATTCATTCAGGCAGAGTAAGACAATCTCGCCTGAATACTTAAAGTACTAAACGGCATTATTGTAAACAAGCTAATCTTGCAAATAACCCTCAAGACACCTCATCTAATAACAATTTTATGGATGATGAAGTCGTTTCAATTAATAATGATGATTTTGAAGACAATAATGATAACACCGACTTTGAAAATAGTAATGAAAATGATGACGCGAAAGACTTGTCAACTAATAGCGATAACCTTGAAAATAGTAGCATATACGACGATCTTGAAGACGATTTAATCAATAGTGATGACTTTGGAAACAGTAACGACGACTTTGAAAACCTTTTAATCGGCAATGTTGATTTTAAAAACGATTTTGAAGAAAGCAGCGATGATCTTGGGAATAGTAATAACGATGATTTAATTAATGACAATAATATGTATGCTCAAAAATTAGCAAATGGGCCTGCGTCCTTTGAACCATTTGACGGTGAATATGGTCCATATTTCGCTAATTTTACTGAACAAATGCTTTTCTTATGGGTTATTAAACATATGATATGTAAGTTTATTACAAGTAGGGTTGTAGTATCATACCTCGGTGCACTCCAATTTAAGCCCAAACCAGACTAGAGTATGTTATTAAATATGTAAAATAGAATACTCAAACCAGTTTGCTAAACTGGAAGCCAAACTGGAATATTATATTAGAATGTAGATTTCGAGCTGGTTTGGGTTGTAACTAGTTTTAATTTCGTATAACTTTTATTCTCTAAAAGCCGAATGGTAACTCCTAAATCGCCGAAATTTTGATATTCATTATTTTTTTTCTGTTTTTTTTTTATATCTTTTTAAGCTACAAAGGCATACGAGGATTTGGTAGTGATTATCAAACATCCGCGGTTTCATTCTCACCATATACCTGAGAATATAAGGCGTCTTAGATCTTAACGAACTAGAATGCCCCTGTTGAATATAAAAAGTCATCTTATCCCTATTGATGATCGAAAGACACCTTCTATATCAAAACAAGTAAAACCTGTTTATATGATTTCAATAAAAGAACATCTTAAGCATGTGTTGAATAATCCACAGTTGATGACAAAGATGTACTTTGGCCGCGGTATTGAAAGTCAAGAAAAATTGGAATTATGGCACGGTGATATCTGGCAGAGATCTCCTTTGTATAGAGATGCAACTATTATTATAAATAATAGTGAGTTATTTTCTATGATTATTCTAAATATTGAATCTATCTACTATGATATTTAAAATTTTTGAGGCAAAAGAATGTCAACCGATATCTTCTAACAATTGCGTCAGGAGATTAAAAAAAAAAATGTGGCATTTCTTGGGTTTAAGGATAGAATTTTTTGTAAAAAAATGTATAATTGAGTTTTCATAGATTCGATAGACTTAACCAATTACGATTTTTAGCATCGTATCGTCGCGAAATAACGCCCGGGCGTTATTTCACGACGATATGGTAAAGATACTGGTGAAATTAAAATAGAGTGGTAAAATAACTTCACCGCCATTGAAATTGAATTAGTGGAATTTTGTAAATTTACTTCTATCAGCATCTCTAATTCTTACTATAAACCGTGACAATAATTTATTTTTTTTTTAATATCCTATTTTTTATTTATTTTAGGTGAATATGCTGTTGGACAATTTGTAGAATTTATCTACACCAATAATAAGAATCAACATGAAAGATGATTCGGAAGAATTGAAGCCATTATCTCATTCTTGCCGCCATCAGACTTTGACCATCAAAATAAGCAAATGCAGAACGCTTTAAAAATGTCAAGACTTTTAAGGCATGACGAGTTAGGAATTTATTGCAGTCAGGACAGAAGTCGATGAGGGCATAGGGAACTCTGGATGGTAGAAGAAGATTATCAAACTATTCCTCTTAGTCATATATTAAGACCTATTTCAATATGGCTTGAAGATGTTTCCCGGTCTGAATCTTATGATTTTCATGTATCTAAAATCCTATATCAAGACTCTATTATGAAGTGAGTACAAATTCGATCAGTAAAGTTTCACCATCACCATTCTTCTGAATACATCATTACACCAAATACACCGCCTTTGCGTAATATGAAAACATTCAAATTTATGATTGACATCTATAATGATGATTTCGGTACTTATCGCAATGTCTACCACTCACTAGGAGGCATCTATATACAAATAGACAACATGCCTTTGGAATTAAGGCAACAATTAAAAAATCATTTTATTGTCGGCTTTGTACCATTTGGTGGCCATTTTGATGATGCAATGCGTCCTCTACTTCAGGAACTCCATCAATTAGAAAAAGGCGTTGTGATGAGCATGAATAGTGAATCAGTTTGGGTTATCGCTTCAATCAGGCTAGTAACAGCCGACTTACCTCAGGTAGAGATAGGTTTAATTTAATTAAACTAACCAAAATTATGGTTTAAGGACCTAAGCAAGGTTTAATTATTTAAAATGTAGTTATAGCTATGTAGTTAATAAATTACAGTGTAAGTAGGGATGCTAGTGGCTTGATCTGACTTGTATATTAGTCAATTAATTTTGCACTAAATAAAAACTGTAAAAACCATATTAATTCGTTATAGTCTTCCACATTCATTATAGTTCATTGTAAAGTCATCACATACATGTTTTCTATCGAGTTAATCTAATTCTAATATCGATATTTCAAAGCCATGCCTTAAATTAATCAACTCGAACTGTGCTTATTTTTATCCTAGGGTAACGCACTTAGCGATGTTAAAAAACAAAATGCACTTTATAGATGTCGAAACTGTCTTGTTCCGAAGGATCAATTGACTGACACCACTTTTAATAGAATACATTATGCACATTTTCATCATATTACCAAGGAATATTTTATTGAATTACAAACATTAATAAGCCAAAATGCGACTAAATTAGAAATTAATAATTTTACAAGATGTTATAGTCTCAGATCAAAGCAAGGCATTTTATCAACTTTATCTCGAGACTGTCATTTACAAACCCCACATGATGCTTACCACTCTGTTGCCAGCAAGATTCAAAGATTATTGGAGTGTACTCTTAATTTGTTAAATGATAATGGAAAAAATCAATTTTTAAGGCACTGGAGATATTTTGAAAAGCCTTCTACTTGGCATCGTTTGCCTAATCCCATTACTCACCTCAAAAGTTTCATGTTCTCAGACACATTACAATTAGCTATGCTGATACCATTTATTTTGAGACGGTTTTTAACTCCAGGCTGCATGACCTTAAACGATTTTACAACATTATGTGATCGCTTGTCATGTTCTAATGATCGAAGACGAAATACCAAACAAGTCATTAATAAAATCATATCGTGTTGGGTAATTGTAGCAGACGCCGCAACATATTGTTTTAAAACAAAGTTGACTTAAAGTGACCTGAACCATCTTCAAGATGTACTTATAGAAGAACATCGCATATTGATAGAAGTATATATATTTTTTTTTTACCGTCGTAGTAAAATACTAGCATTTTTATAATGATATCAATAAATATTGAGATGAATTTTAATTTCTTTTTATAATAGCGATTTCCCAACGATTTTAAAAATCTGCCAAACCTTCATATCAATTTTCATTTATTACAAAATTGCAAAAACTATGCAACATTAGTTAATACAAACTGTGCAATTAAAGAAATGGTACATAAACTTTCCAAACAAGCTGTTCTTAAAACTAATAGAAAAAATATCGAATTGGATTTAATATGCCGTGCAAACGTCTTACAAGCTATTCGATATTTAATGGATGGCGGAGCGGATAATAGATTTAATGAGAGTAATGTTGGAGACGGGTTGAGATGTATTATTACAGATCAACGTCTTCAACCACTTCTTGTAGGGTGGTATATAACTGATGATTTACATCCTGAAAACATATCTAATGAAAGTAGCTTCTCATTGATTATATTTATTTATTTTATTTATTCACCTTTAACAATTAATTTAATCCTTTTTTTA